TGAGGCTTTCCGGTCTTGCAACCATCATCAAATCAATTGTTCAAATTTTTCTTTTTTTTTTTTTTTTTTTTTATTTGCTGTATCAGTATAGAGCTGGTCTGTGAAAAAGCTGCCAAAAGATTCTATTTAAAAAAATGAAAAATACTAAGATAAAAGTTGTGTGTATGCATGTCTACAGTAAAAAATGTAAACTTTTGCACAAATATGAGTGAATGAAATAATTAAATTATTATGTAAAAACTATTATATCTGAAGCCATACAAATAATACTTAAAACTAAAGATATGCGATCGATTTCAGTTATTCTCTATAGTTTTGAGATGAATCATTAGCATTCCAAAAGTTGTTCTAACAAATTCTTTTTATTTTTACAGCCAATCTATTCTTCAGTTTTCTTCTAGTGAACAAAGGAATAAAGGTTTATCACTTTTTCTTGTTTAAGATTAGGTTTCCGGTTCCTTATAAATTCTACTTCAACTATATTTCTGTCTCCACCTAAACTTTGAAATTATCATTATCTGGTTCCTTCTCTTTCACTTCCAGTAGCCCCTTGCGACTTACGGGCCTTATCACCTTATTTGGAGGAGGAGGACTGATTAAAAAAAAAAAAAAAAAAAATATATATATATATATATATATATATATATATATATATAAATAAATGATTTTTTTTTTTTTTTTCAAAAAAAATGGAAGCAAATATTCTAAAGTATATTTTCTATATATTCTAACCTATTCTAAAGTATATTTTCCACTACTTTTCTTTTTGAAAGGGGTTAGATTCCTCTTTTACTTTAAAAATTGCTCACCTAAACATGACTAGAAAGTGGACGGTCTGAATCAATAAAAAGAATTAACAACAACAACAGTAACATACTACAAGACTAGCTTGTTAACCGTTGCTCCATGAACAGATACCTAAATAGGATTATTGGTTTTTAGTACAAATGGCAACATTTTTACTTTTTTTTTTTTTCTTTGGCACATTTGAATCCTGGGGATTAAACCTCTCCACCAACATCATCACTGGCTCTTGACAATGTTGCATAAGCGATAAATAACAGAAATTATTTAAAGGATTTTAAACAGCAGTATAGACAAAAATAATTTTCAGTTTACTATCAATCACAAAAAAAAAAAAAAGTCTTTTTATTCCTTTCTCAAATTTAAAAGAAATGATATGGCAAAACATTTCGTGTCCTTGGACATTTATATCTGGATGTAGGCATTTTTGTCTATATACTTTTAAATTTGGCATTATGATTTAAATACTTTAATCAATGAAATGCATGCTACCATAAATGTTTTAATAAATAAAAGGTTTTTTCATAAGTTACATGAGATTATATATATATATATATATATATATATAGTTTGATTTTGGACTATATTGCCTGAGGATACCCAAAGGCTGAAACTATGATGGCATAATTGATTGAGCACTTTAATATAATTGTTTCCTAGTCTTATTTAACTCTGATCAATAACTATATATATATATATATATATATATATATATATATATATATATATATATATAAAAACATTTCTTCCTCACCAGATAAGGTAAATCAATCAGCACCTGAAGATTGTGTTGTGCATGAAACTCAGAGTTGTTCTACCAGTGAAGAAAGAAAATATATATATATATATATATATATTATTAATATGTAAATTATATGTCTGTTACTCTACATGGAGCACTATTTTATTAACATCATCCCTCAATGTGATAGATATATATCTCAAAGTGATAAGTTTGTTACTTAGCTGATTGATATTACTTTCAGCATCCTCACCCCAGGGTATCATAGACACCCCCCCCCCGCCAGGAATTACATGGTCCACTCATCAGTGCGTATCACCAATTAACTGCTTATACGTGTATATTTTAATATGTGCTTTTCATTGGTATAAGTTCATTTTTTTGCATAGTGTATGTGTGCATTTGTGCCCATATGTGCAGAATGTCACAATTATTTGTCCTTACATATATATATATATATATAATATATATATATATATAAAAATCTCAAATGAACTCTTTAAGTATGGATTTTATAAAATTTGCTGACACAAAGTGTGCTTATTGATGGTAAGATATTTATCAGGATTCCTAAGTATTTTCTATGTAATGAATTGTGTTCTTTACACTATCCTGATAAGAAAAGAGCACAATTCATTACATAGAAAATATTTAGAAAGAATCCTAATAAATATTTTCCAATCAATAAAGACATGCCAAAAACATTTTTTTTTTTTTTTTTTTTATACATCAACTTTTATAAAATCCATGCTTAAAGCATCTAAGATTATTTTACATACAACTATAACTGGTGTAACCTAAACTTTTTTTTTTTTTACTCCCACATAAAACTCCCCCCCCATCAACAACATGGACTTTTACCAAACAGAAATAAAAATGCCTACCAGATACACAATATCAACCAATTCCTGGATAGAATTATGATAAACACACTTGTGGTCTACTTACCCAAGGAAAAACAAGCAACACAAAATAAAATTATCCAATTTTTCTTTCTCCTCCATATTTAGTTTTCTATTGAAGTTTTAATAAAAGCAAAACAAACAAGAATGTGAGTTCAATACCCGGTTAAGGCAGTGGAGAACTTTCAGAGGGAAAATTAGCAGGAGATAACTGATAACTGACATCCATCAAACATGGCACATGAAACTAGAACAGTCTACCCCAGAGATCAAAATAAAGGGTTCAGTTCGAAATTCCAACCACCTGAAGAAGGCCGGAGCGTACAACGGCCGAAACATTGTGACAAATATGGCGACAAAGATGAGGACAATAGTCCGACTAATGTAAATACTGTACAAAACAAACATGTTGAATTCATAAATGTTACCTATTTGCTCTTTATCCTAGTGCATATATATCTCAACAGGTAAAATATTGACAAATGGAGTATAATTCCACTGTCAATAACATTTAACTTAATAATTTTAATTTAAAAGACTGCTCAATACAGAGTAGAGCTAAATATTTATTTTAGGATATTAAAACAAAAACATGTTAAAAATCACTACACAATTACAATTATGTTTGAACACAACAAATGCTTCTCCTCAGTAGTTTAACATATTTTATATATCACCAGAAGAACAGTATTGGGGAAATTGTATGACAAAGTGGAAAAAGTTTACTTGTGATAGGTTTTGTCCTTCAGGAATTCATCAGAATAAATCTGTTATGTTAGTAGGACTATACATTCACACAACAGCAGGATGCTGGGAAATTTTAGAATTTTTTTTTTTTTTTTTTTAATCTAGCCAAATTCATTTAGAGTCTTTTTTTTCCCCATCAATTTTAGAAATTGGTATTCCAAACTGTGATATTAGATCTGTTAGGAATGGATAAATGTTCTAAGAGCCAGGAAGCAAATTTACTGTAGAAGACCTTGCAATTAAGGTACTCTTTAGACATTTAGTGAATTATTTTCTTTGATCAGAGTAGAATTTTTTATGCCAAAATTGTGGTCAGTCTTGTTACAGTGAGCCATCAATGCATTTGATGTATTATTTTTTAAAATGTCTTGTGTTCATATCTTTAATTTAGATTTCCTAAGGTTTCTCCTATGTATTTTTTATGACATTTATTACAGGAAATGAAGTAAACTCCTTCAGGTTTTAGCTTATTGTTTTGTTTAGTATTGACAAAGTCTTTTATTGTTTTAAATATAGGAATAACAAATTTTATGTTGAGTTTAAATAGATATACTAATGGCTGCAGGCAATTAAAGTATCATATACAAAACTATTGCCTAGAAAAAAAATTTTTTTTTTTTTTTTCGGTCATCAAAAGTGTTAAGTAAAACACTGACTATCGATACCGAGATAACTCATTTATTATGATGCCAAATACAAGTCATCTCATGCTTAGCATTTTCTGTTAAATTTTCATCTGCGGGCGCCAACAAGTTTATTTGTAGTGATAATTTTAGTGTCAAAACAATGTTAAGACTTCAGCTGAAGCTATAAATCAACTCATTTTTTTTATTTTTTTTTTATTGTGTAAGCTATTATAAAGTGCAGTTTCTTCATCAGGTTTCATAACTGACTACCGGCAGTCAACGTGTTAATGAAGTGTTTAATCTCTGGTTCAAAAATATATATATATATATATATTGAATTATATATATAATATATATAAAATATATGCTTCAAAATATTATAAGACTCCTTTTGGATATTGTAACTATTTTTTTTTTTTTTTTTTTACTAAGAATTTCCATGTAGTATTCCATGTCAACATATTCTTAAATTTATCAGAATAATTCTAATAAGACAATTTGGATAAAAAGAAGACAGAAAACATGTTTCTTAGCCATTGCCAGTGCATTTCGTCAATCTGGCTTTATCAAGGCAAGTTTAAAAGCGAAATGTTTTTTAGTTACATTAACTTACCTTGATAAAGTCGCATTGATGAAATGCGTCAGCAATGACTAAGAAATATATTTTCCAACTGTCTCCTTTTTATCCAAATTGTCTTACATTCAAGAATTATTCTGAGAAATTCAACAATATGTTGACATGGAAAACTAAAACAAATTCTTAGTAAAAAAAAAAAAAAAAAGTTACCAATATCTAAAAGGAGGCTTACACAGGAGCATTCCCTTTTTAATATTTTGAATGGTATTTGAAAATTATTATAATATAATTCTATGAAAGCAAATGATGCCAATAGAATAAAATAGATTTATTTTTTTATATTAATGTTTACCTAATACAAGGCTCAAGAACCACTCAAGGTAGAGACTTAATCTGTTGTGTTGTATGAATGTAAGAAAGGGCAAGAAATGAAGTTCATTGGGCTATGCAGGATAGACAACAGTTAACACTAATAAGATCAATAAAATCCTGACAAACACAAATATGAAAGCTCCAGAACATGTTAACATACTTAAAGGACAAAAAAAAATAAAAATACCAAGTCTGTTTAAAATTAGAACTGGCTTTCAGGCACATCATGTAGAAACACTAGTTCTCATATGATCACCGAAGTTAATTAATGTCAGGCCCGGTCATTACTTAGATGGGTGACTGCTTGAGAATACCAGTTGCTGTAAACTTGGATGTGCAGGTGGTGTAATGGATAATGGCTTGGAATTGTTAATCAGAGAGCCAAGTTCTAATTCCTGTTGGGTTTGTTATATTCACTTACATTCAAATATTCTTGGAAAAGGCCTGAATCTACCACTTCCCCCTCCTCAATCCCAGCTATGAGCCAATTAGTAAGACTTATCTCTAAGCCATTATTATCTAGAAAAAAAAATTCTTACAATCTAGAAATATTTTCTGGCTTTAAGCTGCAAAGGGTTGATAAACAGTAAAAAACTAATGAAATCATTAAAATTGGTCAGCACTTTTTATTTGAGCATAATATATTTGGATACATTTAATGCCAATATAATTTAAGTTTTTTGAACATCATATTATAATCGTGTGTCTCTCCTTTTGATAGTTTGCACGACCATGACGCCATGCCAATATCTCATAAATAAAGGACTATTCTATATTTTGATCACATGGAAAGAGGAGGGAAAAAACTTTACTTGGTTTCAGTGAGAAAATGAAAGAAGAGACAATAGAAGTAGGAAGAGAGAATCAGATTAAGCTGATAAGAACAGATACTACACTTTCATCTCAGCCAAAAGGCAGAGAAAAGATAGTGACCAATAAAAGTACCATTTTTCAGATGCACCATATCAAAAGATGGAAAATGAGTAAGGCAAAAATCCAGTTACATAAATAAAATGACATCATCTGCTAAAATATTTTTTTGGCCAAGAAATGAATTAAAGACATAAGGGAAGATAAAAGTGTTTAAACTCATGTCAATACCTCAAATAATAAACTATTCCGTTGTGATTGAATAGAAAAAATAAGACATACAAATGAAAGAAAAGAAAGTGAAGATAGCAGTGTTTAAAGGTTGTTTCAGTGAAATGGAAAAAAAATGTCAATTTCAAATTTTTTTCATTTGTACCCACTTCTTAAAAATAACAACCAGCATTCATATTTATGATTTTTATTGCAATATTTTGTTAAAGTTATTAAGGTCAAATATTTTAAATGATGTGATACAGGAATTTCTACGGATATTTTCTTGTCCTAGAAATTTCCATGAGCTTATTCAATCATTAACAGGAGGATTAAGATTCGTCAGATAATTCAAATAGGAAATCCATAAAATTTTCATGGGTCTTTCTAGTGAAGATAAATTGGATAAATAAAAAAATAAAAAAAATTTTTTTACTCAATAAGAAAATCTATCTTACAAGGCAAACAAGGTAAAGCCTATGCTTAAAAAATAAGATAAGTAAACAAAGTTAAAAAAAAAAAAAAAAAAAAAAAGTTCTGTTGCAAAATAGTAAGGAAAAAAAATAAATAAAAATGAAATAAAAATAAAATAAATAAATTAATTTTGGCAAATGACTTTCCAAACCTGAAACCACATTTAAATTATGCTGTACCATTTGTTAAATAAACCATTAACAGGAAAGACAAATACATGTGTAGTCCAATGTTGCTAAGAGTACAATATTTAAAAAGAGTTTTTTTGTCTTTCTAAAATTCAGCTCATTTATTTTATATCTCCTACTTTTCACAACAGATGTGTAATTAAACAGAGCAAACAAACCTTGTTTTCTTAGAGGGGAAAAAGTAAGAGGGGGAAAAAGTAAGAGGGGGAAAAAGTAAGAGGGGGAAAAAGTAAGAGGGGGAAAAAAAAAAGTAAGAGGGGAAAAAGTAAGAGGGGAAAAAAAGTAAGAGGGGGGAAAAAAGTAAGAGGGGGAAAAAGAGGGGGAAAAAGGGGAAAAAAAAAAGAGGGGAAAAAAAAAAAGAGGGGAAAAAAGTAAGAGGGGGAAAAAGTAATTTTCTTTCTTTTTTAGGATACCTTGAATAGTCTGGACATTTGAAGACACACAGATATTTGTTATAACTCAAAACAGTCTAGCACTTATCCCTAAAATTCAGGCAACCTTGTGAAAAGTCTAATGCAAGTAAGTTTAACAAATTAAAGACTAATTTAGATGTTAAATCAGACCCAGAATTATCACCAAGCACAATGAACGGACGTCCCATTAGGGGGGCTCTGTGCTTTGAGCACCTATTGGGACAAACCCAACCCAAACCTCATGTGAAACTCTTACATACAATACATCACTTAAGATGCTGGAAAAATGGTTGGTTCCCTATAGTGCTCTAGGAAATGCCCGAATCCTCTGGCTATCCTCTACAAGAGCTAGATCAGGTCAAGAATAGAGTATTGCTGCCCAATCTTCAATTTCCAGTCTCAATAAAGCCCAAAATCATCTTTGCAGCCTTGAGGGTGAATTATTTTCCACCCTTTCTCAAAGTCAAAAACATTGCAAATTTCCTGCTGCTCTATTGCTATTTCCATGAAAAGTGCTCAGACAGACTACATTCCTTAGTTTCACCTGTTCTAACCTTCACAGCTTAGACTCACTATGCTACACACATCGTAGTGAAACACCATCATTCTTTTCATATTCCATTGGTGACTTGAGAAGCTTCTTCCTATGAACTACTGCTCTGTGGAACTGACTCCCAAGAGGATGCTTCCCAAGTACTACAATGTTAACTTGTTCAAGTCTAGGGTTAACTACTGTCTTCACATATATAAATAAATTGTGCTTCATACTATGTAACATTCTGCTCTGATTGGTTCTCGAGATTTGTACAGGGTGAACATAATTGTAAAAAAAAAAAAACATACACACACACATACACGCACAATCAGAATTTAACCACTCTACTTGACTCCTCATGCCATGCTGTATTGACACAAGTGTCAGATCAGATGAAAAATGAAGTAGTACTACTATATCTGGGCTGGAGCAGCACAATCCTCACTTTCCAGGCCTGACCGAGTTCAAAAGAGTTTGCACTCCATTGTGGGTAAGAAATTGTTTTCCACTCTACAACCCCTTTCCCCATAGACAAAACATTGCTAACCTCTCAATATTTTATCGCTGTTTTCATGAAAGATGTTCATATTAACTACATTCTTTAGTTTCACCAGTTCAGACCTTCACAGCTATGATCTGACATGCCATGTGCACAAGGTCAATTCATCCCCATTCACTTTGTACTCCATTGGTAAGGAGAAAATTCCACTCAGCTTCTTCTCAGAAACTGTTACATCATGAAAGACTCTTGAAAGGGTGCTTACACAAATTACTATGATCTTAACATCTTTAAGTCTAGGATCAGCCATTACCTATCCTATAGATCCTCATAATAGATATCTTTTACTCCCTCCTTGTCCATTCATTCAGTAGCCTTGAATGACCAGTGGGCCTTATAAGGAGAGAGAAAAAAAATTCAATTTTAACAAGGATTTTTATAAGCAAAAATTTGAATTACTGACGGGATCACCTTTTAACAAATTTCTTGAATCTGGTACTTTCCGAAATCAGCCAGTCAGTTATGTGCCATGCATGATACACGCTTAGGCGATAATGTATCTTTCAATACATGACTGACTAGGCAGATTCCCCCCACACACACACACACACAGTAGGCCAATTGCCATCCAAGGCTATAGAACCCGGTCTGTCCTGCTATTTACCAATAGCTGGGGGAGAAGGGATTCATACTTTTCCCAATGGTATTAGGACATAAGTGAATGTAACAGATTTGAATGGAATTTCAACTTGGCTCTCTGATTCCTCAATCGGAGTCACTATCTATTATTCCACCGTGCCTCCTCTTTCCGAAATATTTTACCTAAATAACCAACATTTGATATGTTGGCGACGCATTATTAATATATCCCTACTAAACAATATCAACCAATTGTAAATAAAATAAGTCAAATGTACACTAGATTTGTTTACTTATGTAGCAGAAATAAACAATACATTACCTTTATGTAATTTTATGTTATGTCTAACATACAATACATGTCCCATACATCTAAAATAAAATATTCATTTTGGTTAAACCGCAGAAAATATTATACATCAACTTAAATCAAGAAAAATTACAAAGTGTAAAGCGAGAAATTAATGTCCACACAAACAAGTGGGTTGCTCCAAAAACATTGCCTACTATTTATTTCCACAGAAACTACAACATATAAAAGTAGCACAATAACACTACCAGATAGAACAAGATTTCAGCTACAAAATATTTTTTCTAGAGTTACCGCCATTAGCTAAGCATTTTCACCAATGACAAACAAGCAGTTGCATGCCATACCCATCAAAATCTGCACCAAAAGAAGCAACCTACATTTTTCAACACAAAGAATGTAATTTTTTCTGCAGGGAAATTCCTTAACATCTGCTTTGTATGTACTTTCATATCAGAAACCATTTTACAAGATTGCCATTCAGCTGCTATAAGTAACAAGGTCCAAAAAGTTATAGACTAATGGGTCCAACTTCTACTGACCTATCATAAAATCAACATTACTTTCAGAGTGACACTCTCATGTTTCTGTGTATATAATATTTATAATAAACATCTTTTATTTTAAACATAAAATAATAACCAATGTTTTTATGTTAAAAATAAACAAATTCTAAGAGCAGATTTTATTTTCATGAATTATATTTTTTATATGAAAAAAAAAAAAAAAAAAAAAAAGAAAAAGAAAAAAAAATGAAAACTACAGATAAAAGTTCACTTTCTTCAGAAAGTCATTCACTTTAGTTCACTACTACTAACAAGCAGGAATAGTTTTCTCCTGATGATGGCCAAGTTGGCCGAAACTAGTCGAGGAACCTAACTGAAATAATTAAACAAAAAATATTAATATACAACCCAGTGTGTGTACAAATTTAAATTTAATATTTTTTATTGTTCAAAAAAAAAAAATATATATATATATATATATACACACACACACACACACAAGTGATGAGACAATTAATCAGAATTGTAATGAAGAAATGGAAATATCAGAACTTTTTGGGGGTATTGGAATCTGAGAGTTTTTAACCTAATTTGATTCCAAATACCATTCTATGGATTTTTTTTTTTTTAAATTTTCCATTCTTGGTACTAATAAAAAATATAAATATTTACTGATTTTAAA